AGACGTCGACGGGAGAGCACTTTCCCATCAACTTAGCGGGTCTTCACAAGACCCACTAAATGGACACTGCTGCATCCATCGCAGCAGTGCCAATTTAGCTGTAAATATAAACAATCCCTGAGAATGAATGTCAGGCACAGAACTTTTTCTTTAGAGCTAGATGGTTATTTCATTAATATCTGTTCCCTTTTACTTTTTGCTTAGAACTTAGAGAAGCTTAAAAATTCTATCCATAATCTAACAGCTTGAAGGTTCTCAATTACATTTCTAAAAAAGGCCAACTATGACCCCTATACTGCACCTGGATTCCATATGTGTGGATATATTTGTCTGCATAGAGCCTGAGTCATTTCCGGAAACTTGTATGGGAACAGGAGTACATCTGTGCAAATCTAGTCATACACTGGGGCCTACCTCCCCAAAAGAAATGGCTAGTGCACTGCTAACAGCGACAACATTTGTACAAGACAAATTACTAGCAAGAAATCATGTGTTATTTAATCAGTCTTTACAGAGTGTTTTATTTTTTGTACATAAATGAAAAACAGTATTCACAAAGAAATTTCGTTAAAAAAATACTAAATGACCCACTTAATTTTAAAAAATTACATATAAAAACACTTTAATGTACAAAAGATTTGTACTTTACAACAGTCTGAACACTGTAAGCAGTATATTCCATGTAGCTTAATGCTTTCTTTCACGTCTACATTGTGTGTGCATAGACACAAATACTTTACGATTTCAAAATCTGAATATCAATATATAAGCAATTAGTACAAGTGACCCATATACACAAATGCAAAGTTAAAGACTGGCTGCAAACTATTAAGGAAATATTTATAACAAACCACCTCCCTGACTATTTTATATAAAACATAAACAAAGAGGGATTTCACTAACAGATTTTAATGTTCATTAGGTAGAAATACTTTTGGAACCAACCAACCAACCAAATGCTATATGAAAATTCCAGGTGCCATAATATCATGCAGTAATTGAAGAAAATTAAGAATATTCTGTGGTGAACCACATAAACATAGTTCTTATTGAGTAACTGTTTTATACACCCGTTTCAATTTTAAAAATACAGTAACATGCTACCATTTAGTTATAAATCAAAACTGGGTAAAATTTTCAAAAGTGCTTAAGTGGCATAGGAGCCTAAATCTCATTGTATTCAATGGGAGTTGGGCTCCTAAGTGATGTAGGATGTCACTTTGGTGCTTTTGAAAATTTTAGCCTCCGTGCAAATTTATTCAAGGGTCGTTTCAGGCTGCAGGATTACAGTCTAGTCAGACAATCCCCACCACACGCTGCATGATTTTTATCCTCCTGAACAGCATTATGCATTGCATCCTCAGGATCACCAATAGTACTAATGCAACAGATGTGCGAAATATTAAGGGTTAGTCACCTAGTACTTACATGTAAAGTTAGACACTGAGGCCCCAATCTGCAATGACATCTGCGTGGGTGGACAGCAACATGTGGTTGGAGTCCGACTGAAGTCAATGGAGCTCTGTGTAGGCCCATGGGTTCATCTGCACAGATATCATTGCAGGACTGGGTTCTAAGTGCTGAATTCTTTCATCAGAGACTTGCACATAAGTTGTGATTGAATCAACAGGAGTTCTGTGCAGGTATGATTTCTGCAGAATTTGGCTCAAACTGCTAGCAGCATCTAATGTTAAAGAAGGGTTTGGGAGAAGAGTAGCAAAAAGGAAATGAGAGAACAGAGACAATACAATAAGACTAGACAGAACAGGACGAAGACAAGACAGAAGCAAAGAAACAATTTATTCCACTAAATATAACAGCACTTTTTCCACCAGAGATTAGTAACATCTCCATTAGAAAAGCTAATTCAAGCCATCAGGAAGTGGCAGGAACAAGAAAAGACCAAATCACCTAAAGTAAACTAAAAAAGACTGGGCCATTAAAAAAAAATTATTAAAATGTTAAACAATTTTTTCATCACTGTCAGAACACTATCCCATTTAAAATAAATTTGGAGATCTGTTTGTTGCACAAATTCTTCAGATAAGACCTAAAATCTTAATGGGAAAAATAGATTCTGGGTATCAAGTAAAGGGCTGTTCATATTTAGAGAGACTTCAGAAAACAGCTAACTTGAATGAAGATTTTTTAAAACATTTTTGAGCTATTTAGTCAGTATTTTGAGCCAGTGAACAGCCTCACCATGATCTACCTTGCTTGCTTATTGTTCAGCAAGTAAAATTGGAGCGCCTACTATGAAAATCTTAAATGATAAAAGAACTAGCATACTTGAGGGATTGCCCTGTGATAGCAACAAAAGTCATTAAGGGCTTTCTCTGTTTAAGGTGTGAGACAGCGGAAAGTTCTTCTCATAATTTGAGAGAATGTGACATCCTTCTGGACAAGGCTCAAGAAACTGTTTGCATGTTAGTTTATGATGGGAAAAATATATACAATTTGTGAGCAAAATAGGATGACGTTTGGTTTTACTTCTGTTCTTTGAGTTACCTAAATAAGCTATGTTTACAGTAATTATGTTTTAACCTATTTAAGGCTCCTAAAGACTTCTGGATATGAGTGACTAAACAAAAACAAAAAGCAAGCTAAACAGTTAGAATATAAACACTGAAGTGCTACCATCTTTATTAAAAGGCACTAGAACCATGAACTCTATTCTAGAGAGGTTAGACGATCAGAAAAAAAATCTGATACTCCTATGTTTAAAGAATTCCCTAAATAGTGACAATTTACAAATATCTACCAGCTAAACAAAGTAACGTACAGCAAATGAAACCAGCATTCCAGTGCTTTCAAATACATTTTTATGACTAAACTGACATAGCTTCTTAAAGCTAGGAACAATTCTAAATATTAAGTTTTATTTTTTATAAATCACCTTATTAAAGCTCCACCATTAAGATTTAACCCATTATTTCATAAGTTTCCTGTTTCTATTTGAATAAAGTTATGGTAAACTATGAACAAGCTTATTTTTCTAGTAGTAATAGTACCTTTATAGGATATATTGCAGATTGACTGTTGAACATACTAACTGGTAGTCCCTGAATCCAAGTGAAAAGCTACTAATATCTGACAAACACAAATACCTGTGTAAAGGTGCAACTACCTACAGACAGCATCAGAGTCCAATGACTATTAGATAAGAAATGAAGTTCAAGACCTGACTTTGGCCTCACATATTAAGGCTCAAAATAACGAGCACTGGCTCCAACAATAAAAGAGAATGTAAAATTACACATTTCCATTACTAAAAGTAACTTTTTCCTAAAAGGAGAAATAGCACCTATAGCTTGTCCTGAAACATGTCCATTTCACTAGGCAATGACTAATGCCGAAGGGGAAAAAAAAGGGGAGTTCTTCCTACACACTTCAAACAGACTTAAAATAAGTGATGGATTCCAAGTAGAAAAATTTTGATGAAATATATACAACACCACAATTGTTTTCAAATGTCCTTAAATGTCCAGTTTTAGCACTTAAGGTTACAATTTTTGTATCTGTTCAAAACACTCAAGTTATAGTACTTTGCTGTCATAAGAAAGTCTGGTCCCACCGAAAAGCTAGCAAATGGTTTTTCAAGCATAGTGGTCAATGACAGATTTTTCTGGAGTTATTTCTTTTAAATGACTGGTGCTTCTGAGAAAATAACACAATTTTCTAAGATTAGTGACATCACTATGACCAAAAAAAGTATATAAAGAATAATGAAATTGAGAATGAAATAAGCAACAGTTGGGAATTAAACCATGCCACAAGACAGTAATTATGGAACGTATCAGAAACCTTAATCTTTAAATTTAAGTACATCTAATCAAATTAATCCAGAGCAATATCTATTTTAAGTTTCGTTCTGCAATATAACCAAACAGTAAAATTGAATGGCAAATCTAGGATTTTTTTTTCAAATTAAGTCTATTTTTTCTTACTTAGAAATGTACTTTTGTATAGTAGTACTCTATATATATGCAATTCCTACGTATTAAAGATTAAGACTTTGAAAATTAACATGTTGTATCTTTGTTGATTAAAAGTATGCAAAAAATAAAAATACAGACTCAGTGCAGTAGTTTAAAAATTCACAAATTTTATCACCAACTATTTGTTGAGAATTATCAAATGTATAATTAAAAAATATAGAATGTGAATTCTGAGTTATAAAGTCACCCTATACAAAATTTATAAAATCATTTAAAAAGGCTCTGAAGGATAAATACTATTTATTTCCCCTACTTTACACTATTCTCTTGTAAAGGCTCTTTTTTGTCCAGCTTTTACAATGTCATCAGGAGATGCTGATTTAAAGTCAAATGGTGTTATTGATATTAAAGGACCAATTTCCTTATTTTTTATTTCTTGTACTTGCCTACTGTATAGGAAAGTCTTATGGATATCAATCGTGCGCCGTTTACATCCTTTTGGAGGATAACGGAGACACAAAGTTAAAGCAAAAGCTGAAGGTCTGGCACAGAGAGCCTTCATCCACGAGAGAGAGAGATCCTGGCTCTTAGAAATATGCCTTTTTTTGCTTTTTTTATTTCCTTTCGCTAAAATAATATTTTTTCCTTGCTTTGAACTTAAAACTTTAGTTTCTGGGATTATGGTATTTGACTGGCATACTACTGATTCTGCAGATACGTCTGGATTTTTTATAAGGACACTTAAGTCAATGTTTGTATTTACTCCTGCAGAAGGCCACGTTTCAGTGATACTGAACCTCGAACAGTCTTTTGCTTCTTGAGGCTTATCTACTTCAATGGTTTCTGCAATTAAATCTGAAAGTGACAAATTCTCAAGTTCTCTTACTGGAGAAGCCTTAGACAATGCCAGAGAAGACAGAGATCCTGTTAATTCTGACATCCCAGTTGCAGTTTGATGTTGACTAGCTAGTTGTGACAATGGTGAGGATCCCAATTTCAAATCTGTAAAACTCGTAGATGATTGATTATAAAGATCAGACAAAGAACAGTGCCTTGAATTACTTTTCTGGTGCTCTTGAAGTAGGTCAGCCAGTGATGGACCTCCAGATTTTGAAAATGGCAAATTACCCATTTCTGAAGATGAGATGTCTTGCCTGGTACTTTGTAGAAATGAAGGAAAATTTTCAAAAAGCTCAGTCTTTCTATTCTGAGTAGAGTTTATATCATTATCAAGTGCCAGTTTCCGTACAGCACTCATTAAGCCAGGACTACTATCCATACTTCCTTTACTATTATGATCTGAAGAATTCTGGACCCCAAGTAGTCCCCTGTCTTGGAGACTTAAATAATCATAAGTTATATTCTGCATCATCAAAGATTTCAAGTCTTGTGATTCCTTGCACTCCAACTGCTTCCAGGAAGGATTTTCAGATGGACTAGCTTCCAATAATTCAGCACCTACACTAAAGCAAATTTTGCCTTCATTGCTGGAAATCAAACTCACTGTGCTGGTATTGTCTGGTAATCGTACTGCTACACGTTTATTGACAGATTCATAACATGATTCTTCACACATATTATTACTGAGGGAAGAATGTAGAACTCCTGAAGATTTATGAGAAGATTCAGATATTTTCTTTTCAATTGAGGATATATTAGAATGTTTAGCTTTGAAGAGTGTTTTGTCACTTAAAGTTGAAAAGTAACAAGGTGATTTAGTTTTGACTGTCAGGCTACTGAGCTCAGACATGCTGGTGTTTGCTGAAGTGTTTTCTATTAAGTAAGACAAGTTCTCCAAATAAGTAAAAGTTTCTGAATAAAGTAAATCTCCTTACCTTACAAGAGCCAATAATTTTCAGATAGATGCACGGTCACAACGAAAATTCCATTTTTTTTTTTTAAGGAGACAGCAACAGCGAAGTTAAGAAGAAACATGAAAGGCATTTTAATTACTAAATGTTATTTGAAAAATTGCATTGCATCATAGTCTCTATAATCAAATACAACAGAGTTCTGAAGGGCATTTATTCAATCATTTAGCAAAACAACAATTATCCAATTATCCACTAAAAGAAACACTAAGTTAGTAAATTAATATCAACCCTTAAGAGGTCTGACTCTACACAACCAAGCTATTGTACTAGCTCTACAAAAACAGTCTTGCTATATCGCAAGCAAACATTTAAAATGTCTTAAAATTTGCTGTCTCAAAAAATTTTTAAAATAAATAAAAAGTTAGCAGTCGGATAACTTAAGTAGTAACATAACTAAGGTATTTATTAGAAAATAGAATTTCATTGGGAATTGTGATTGCTTACATTCTGAATTTAGCAGAGAGGACCAAGCCTAAAACTAAAACTTGATTTTAAGTTTAGTAAAAACTATTGCTTCCTTTAAAGAGATGTTCTGTATATTTCCTAAAACTGTGAAATGTATTTAGAAATAGAAGATTGAGAACTTTGTTTTGTTTTCCAATGAGTCATTTTGATACAATAGTGCAAGTATCTTCCAGTTCTAAACTCACGAGTATCCTATGCACAGCCAGTGAACTTTAATCTAAACCAGTGGTTCCCAAACTGGTGTTCGTGAAATGTTAGAGGGGGTTCTCAGGAAAAAATTCCCTAATGGTGGACAGAGCTGTCCCTACGGACTCCAGGCAGCACAGGGTCAGCAGCCAGAGCCCCTGGACTTCCAAGAGCTAAGCAGATCAAGTAAGAATATCTATCACACTGAGGAATCATAGAAACATAGAATATAAGGGTTGGAAGGGACCCCAGAAGGTCATTCTAGTCCAACCCCCTGCTCAAAGCAGGCAGGACCAATTTCCAGAGGAGACTGAAACTTCAAGACTTCTTATAAGAAATGGAAAGGGAGGTGGATATTTTTTGCTGTTTTTAAAATTATATAGGCAGCTAGTATTGTTTTTTAAATTATTATGAAGAACAAGTTTAAGCTTTGTTGTAACAAGCGTTGTTTGCCTGGTCTGTTCAAGACCTGAATGCTTGTGTAGGACGAACTCTTTGAGTTGGCTTCTTAAATACCTTCATGCTGTTCCACATCTGATACTCCTTGATGAAACATAGGAGCTTTGTCTAATAACAGGCTTATTCAAAGTGATACAAGCTATGAAAGTGAGATCTTGGAAGAGTGTTGCTGTTTTCATAATGTAATAAAAATACTGTAATTATAAATAATAATAAAGTGTGTGTAATAAGCATGTCATAAGAATACATTTTATATTTCCAAGATCACTGCTTTAATAATTTATACCCAGGTAAAGGAGAAGATCCCTGGAAATATTCATTTTTAGGAGGGCGTTCGTCAGACACGCCATTTTAGTGAAAGGGGTTCACAGGTTGTTAAATTTTGGGAACCACTGATCTAAACCAAAACATAATTAAATAAAAGCATACCTTTTGTTGTCTTTCCTGTAGTCACAGCTTCTTCATTCTTGGTCTTCACATTTTGCTTACTGTCTTGTGCAAGCACAAGATCCAAAGCCTTCTGTACATCAAATTTACTATTCAACACTGCTTCCACCATCACCTGCTCTGGTACAGCTTCCCCCAGCACTTCTCTCATCTGGTCAAGGCACGAATAAAGACGAGCTACAAAAGACATCAGTAGTTATAAAATTATAAAACGTGTGTTTTCAAAAAATAGCACGATAAATTACTAAAACCATACTTGCAATAAATATATTTGGGGTGGGGCAGGAATAGTAATTATAAAATCATTGCAACCTGATTTCTTACTCTGGCAGGCTCTCTCACCCCCAGCACTGAAGAGGTTTTTCCAATTATTTCACCAAAACATTACTATAAGAAATACATCTAATGATTTTTAAATTGTCTTTAAAGGGCTGAACACTTAATTATGAGGTGTTACCAGCATGAACAGTATTCATGCCAAAGAAGAAATGCAATCATTCATCTTAAAACTATTCCAAGTAATTTGATAAATCATGTGATATCCATTTAACAGGACATTTTAAGTGTTTACAGATAGTGTATTTAACTTTTACGGTGAACAGCATCTTTTCAGGCCTTGGAACTTAGCAGCTGAATAAAAATAAATGGTCTCATCTTTAGATTAACACTTTAGCATTAAAGCTACCTGAAATCTTACCTTTCCTAGAACTGAGAGAGATTTCTGGGTCTTAAAATCCATATTCTTTGAAGACAGACTTCTCCATTAATATTGCATACATTACAGAAAGTAAAGGGAAATTAAAGGGAGACTGCAGAATAAAGTGATGGACAATCCTAAAAACAATAAACCAAAATCATAGCACTAGAAAGGACCTTGAGAGGTCATCTAGTCCACTCCGCTGCACTCATGGCAGGACTAAGTATTATCTACACCATCCCTGACAGGTGTTTGTCTCACGTGCTCTTAAAAATCTCCAGTGATGGAATGAAAGAATATACAAAAGAAATGTCGGTTTAAAACGGAGTATAAGCCCTGGTCTACACTAGGACTTTAGGTCGAATTTAGCAGCGTTAAATCGATGTAAACCTGCACCCGTCCACACGATGAAGCCTTTATTTTCGACTTAAAGGGCTCTTAAAATCGATTTCCGTACTCCACACCTGACAAGTGGATTAGCGCTTAAATCGGCCTTGCCAGCTCGAATTTGGGGTACTGTGGACACAATTCGACAGTATTGGCCTCTGGGAGCTACCCCAGAGTGCTCCATTGTGACCGCTCTGGACAGCACTCTCAACTCAGATGCACTGGCCAGGTAGACAGGAAAAGAACTGCAAACTTTTGAATCTCATTTCCTGTTTGGCCACCGTGGCAAGCTGCAGGTGACCATCATGGAGTCCCAGAATCGCAAAAGAGCTCCAGCATGGACTGAACGGGAGGTACGGGATCTGACTGCTATATGGGGAGAGGAATCCGTGCTATCAGAACTCCGTTCCAGTTTTCAAAATGCCAAAACCTTTGTCAAAATCTCCCGGGGCATGAAGGACAGAGGCCATAACAGGGATCTGAAGCAGTGCCGCATGAAACTTAAGAAGCTCAGGCAAGCCTACCAGAAAACCAGAGAGGCGAACGGCCGCTCCGGGTCAGAGCCCCAAACATGCCACTTCTATGATGAGCTGCATGCCATTTTAGGGGGTTCAGCCACCACTATCCCAGCCGTGTTGTTTGACTCCTTTAATGGAGATGGAGGCAACACGGAAGCAGGTTTTGGGGACGAAGAAGATGATGATGATGAGGTTGTAGATAGCTCACAGCGAGCAAGCGGAGAAACCGGTTTTCCAGACAGCCAGGAACTGTTTCTCACCCTGGACCTGGAGACAGTACCCCCCGAACCCACCCAAGGCTGCCTCCTGGACCCGGCAGGCGGAGAAGGGACCTCCGGTGAGTGTACCTTTTAAAATACTATACATGGTTTAAAAGCAAGCATTTGAAAGTATTAATTTGCCCTGGCATTCACGGCTCTCCTGGATGTACTCCCAAAGCCTTTGCAAAAGGTTTCTGGGGAGGGGAGCCTTATTGCGTCCTTCATGGTAGGACACTTTACCACTCCAGGCCAGTAACACGTACTCGGGAATCATTGTACAAGAAAACATTGCAGTGTATGTTTGCTGGCGTTCAAACAACATCCGTTCTTTATCTCTCTGTGTTATCCTCAGGAGAGTGAGATATCATTTAATTGGGGATTGGTCCTGCTTTTGAGCAGGGGGTTGGACTAGATGACCTCCTGAGGTCCCTTCCAACCCTGATATTCTATGATTCTATGGTCTCCTGGTTGAAATAGGGGGCTTTTCTTCAGGGGACATGCAGAGGAGCCCATTCCTGATGAGCTATTTGCCTGCGGCTGAACAGAAATGTTCCCCGCTGTTAGCCACGGGGAGGAGGGAGGGTTGAGGGGGTAGCCACGCGGTAGGGGGAGGCAAAATGCGACCTTGTAACGAAAGCACATGTGCTATGTATGTAATGTTAACAGCAAGGTTTACCCTGAAAGAGTGTAGCCACTGTTTTATAAAATGTGTCTTTTTAAATACCTCTGTCCCTTTTTTTTTCTGCACCAGCTGCATGTGTTTCAATGATCACAGGATCTTCTCCTTCCCAGAGGCTAGTGAAGATTAGAAAGAAAAAAAAATGCACTCGTGATGAAATGTTCTCTGAGCTCATGCTGTCCTCCCACACTGACAGAGCACAGACGAATGCGTGGAGGCAAATAATGTCAGAGTGCAGGAAAGCACAAAATGACCGGGAGGAGAGGTGGCGGGCTGAAAAGAGTAAGTGGTGGGCTGAAGACAGGGCTGAAGTTCAAAGGTGGCGGCAGCATGATGAGGAGGCAGGATTCAATTCTGAGGCTGCTGGAGGACCAAACCAGTATGCTCCAGTGTATGGTTGAGCTGCAGCAAAGGCAGCTGGAGCACAGACTGCCACTACAGCCCCTGTGTAACCAACCGTCCTCCTCCCCAAGTTCCATAGCCTCCACACCCAGATGCCCAAGAACGCGGTGGGGGGGACACCGGCCAACCAGCCACTCCGCCACAGAGGATTGCCCAAAAAAAAGAAGACTGGCATTCAATAAATTTTAAAGTTGAAGAGCTCCTGACTACTTTCCAGGCTGCCTGTGTACGGCTTCATGAGCCATGGCATTAAGGGGTAGACTGGGTCCCCAAGGATACATATAGGCATTTCAACATCCCCAACAGTTATTTTCTGGTCTGGGAAGAAAGTCCCTTCCTGCAGCTTTTGAAACAGACCAGCGTTCCTGAAGATACGAGCGTCCTGTACGTTTCCTGCCCATCCCACGCTGATGTTGGTGAAACGTCCCTTGTGATCCACCAGAGCTTGCAGCACTATTTAAAAGTACCCCTTGCGGTTTATGTACTCGCCGGCTTGGTGCTCCGGTGCCAAGATAGGGATATGGGTTCTGTCTATGGCCCCACAACAGTTAGGGAATCCCATTGCAGCAAAGCCATCCACTATGACCTGCACATTTCCCAGGGTCACTTCCCTTGATATCAGCAGATCTTTGATTGCGTGGGCTACTTGCATCACAGCAGTCCCAACAGTAGATTTGCCCACTCCAAATTGATTCCCAACTGACCGGTAGCTGTCTGGCGTTGCAAGCTTCCACAGGGCTATCGCCACTCGCTTCTCAACTGCGAGGGCTGCTCTCATCTTGGTATTCATGCGCTTCAGGGCAGGGGAAAGCAAATCACAAAGTTCCATGAAAGTGCCCTTACACATGCGAAAGTTGCGCAGCCACTGGGAATCGTCCCAGACCTGCAGCACTATGCGGTCCCACCACTCTCTGCTTGTTTCCCGAGCCCAGAATCGGCGTTCCACAGCATGAGCCTGCCCCATTAGCACCATGATGCATGCATTGGCAGGCCCATGCTTTCAGAGAAATCTGTGTCCATGTCCTGATCACTCATGTGACCGCGCTGACGTCGCCTCCTCGCCCGGTATCGCTCTGCCAGGTTCTGGTGCTGCATATACTGCTGGATAATGCGTGTGGTGTTTAATGTGCTCCTAATTGCCAAAGTGAGCTGAGCGGCCTCCATGCTTGCCTTGGTATGGCGTCCGCACAGAAAAAAGGCACGGAACGATTGTCTGCCGTTGCTTTGACGGAGGGAGGGGCGACTGACGACATGGCTTACAGGGTTGGCTTCAGGGAGCTAAAATCAACAAAGGGGGTGGCTTTACATCAAGGAGTATTTCAGGCAGGACTTCACGGAGGGTTCCAGTAAGAAACCTTTGACCATGGGATGGTGTTCCATGAAGGAGGAGTGCTGGGCAGAGATGGGCTCCACCTAACGAAGAGAGGGAAGAGCATCTTCAGAGGCAGGCTGGCTAACTTAGTGAGGAGGGCTTTAAACTAGGTTCACCGGGGGAAGGAGACCAAAGGCCTGAGGTAAGTGGGAAAGCGGGATACTGGGAAGAAGCACAGGCAGGAACATCTGTGAGGGGAGGGCTCCTGCCTCATACTGAGAATGAGGGGCGATCAGCAGGTTATCTCAAGTGCTTATATACGAATGCACAAAGCCTTGGAAACAAGCAGAGAGAACTGGAGGTCCTGGTGATGTCAAGGAAATATGATGTGATTGGAATAACAGAGACTTGGTGGGATAACTCACATGACTGGAGTACTGTCATGGATGGTTATAAATTGTTCAGGAAAGACAGGCAGGGCAGAAAAGGTGGGGGAGTTGCACTGTATGTAAGGGAGCAGTATGACTGCTCAGAGCTCCGGTACGAAACTGCAGAAAAACCTGAGTGTCTCTGGATTAAGTTTAGAAGTGTGAGCAACAAGAGTGATGTAGCGGTGGGAGTCTGCTATAGACCACCGGACCAGGGGGATGAGGTGGATGAGGCTTTCTTCCGGCAGCTCGCAGAAGCTACTAGATCGCACGCCCTGGTTCTCATGGGTGACTTTAATTTTCCTGATATCCGCTGGGAGAGTAATACAGCGGTGCATAGACAATCCAGGAAGTTTTTGGAAAGCGTAGGGGACAATTTCCTGGTGCAAGTGCTAGACGAGCCAACTGGGGGAGGGGGGGAGCTTTTCCTGACCTGCTGCTCACAAACCGGGAAGAATTAGTGGGGGAAGCAAAAGTGGATGGGAATCTGGGAG